AGGTTAAAAATTGCAATCCCAACAAATCTCAAATACCCCTATCTCAGAATATTTATCAGATACTAGTAACATGTTAAATAGTAAGTTCAAATTACACGTTTACTAAGTACACGTTTACCTGTACTTTGTCAAGATTCTCGATCTGTAGATTACTAAACCAATGTAATTTAACAAGCGTTTAATATTTTAGAAAATGGGTTCCAGGTTTGTGGTGAATATTGGTTCAGTTTCTATACCTAGATCCACCTCACCAGAATTCAACATCGAGACCAAAATGTCATCTCTATTCCCTACAGGATATATCCAAACAGATGATGTATGTATAATAAGGGTACTTTTGAATTAATTTGTTTACTAATTTTAAAAGGAAATTGGACAATACAGTCAAGTGAAAAATCCGATAAGTGAAAAGAAACTCTGGGAGTGGGACTTGAAATTAGGACCTTTGGATAACAGAGATACGCTTTATCCAGTTGAGCTTTCCAAGAGTATAAACAGCCTCTATCTCCTTTCACTCATGAGGCTTTTTCACTATGAGTATGAAACTTCACACTACTTTGTGTTGTTGTGGTTACCAAACCAAATCATAGGAGTCTAACTAGACTCACATATATATATTTATCATTACTATATTTACCTCGTATTATTAATCCATTAAAGCAAATTTGTTAACAAACATTATATGCTATAGCGTTTCAAAACGATTCAAAACCCTCAGAATTAATAACTATAGTTGTTAAAAAAATATATTACATACTAACTAAACTGACATTCAAAAACATTGTCTACAATGTTTATCATGTTTGAGTTGTCTTATTGGTATTTGAAGAATATGTAACTTTAATGCTACTAATGTTTTGTTCAGAATATTTCAAAATTGTTACTATAAGAGGAAAAAGTTTATTTTCATCAATATATTAATAGTTGAAGAATACAGCAAAACAAATCAGTACTGTGATGTTACTTGTTATTCAAATATCTAGTTTTATTGTGTTAAGTAAAGAACAACCTAAACCATGCACTTAAGTACAAATGGCCACTAGTTTACTTTTTCGAAATTGCCCTTTGGCAGGGTTATTGATGAGGGATAAAATTCCCAAAACTGATCTAACTTTGTAACAAGGGGCAACGAATGGTAAAATGGGATTCTTTTTTTTTTTTTTGCCAAAATTCACAATTTTAGTGACGAAAGTAAAAAATATACTTAATGTTTGTTTCTCGCTGGGTTTCCAGAGTTGTATATTTTATTAATGATAACATTTAAATGTAAAAACAAAACGTAATAACTCCACTTTCCCTCCCCTTTTGCAAATATTCATGCCGAACTTGGAGTAATAAAGGTGGAGGGGGGGGGGGTACAAACTCCTTCCTCCGATTACATTTTCAAGGACACTAAGACACTATACTAAGACACTCGGAGTAACCCTGCTAGCCAGGATTTAGAACAGTTTTAAAGATTATATTAAGTTTGTATATTAAAATAAAAAATATATATATGTAGGATGGGATTCTGTAAGAGGGAATACGAATATTATTAAAGAACCGTTAAATGTAAGGTTAAGTCCTGAGAGTTTCTGTAAACAATGTACTTAAAACAATTTCAAGTATCTTCAAATTTTTATCGGTTAACCTCTATTGCTATGGCTAAATAGTGTAGGAATTATGTCTGTTTGCTTGTTTTTGTTTTGTTTTTGGAATTTCGCGCAAAGCTACACGAGTGCTATCTGCGCTAGCCGTCCCTAATTTAGGAGAGTAAGACTAGACGGAAA